TACTGGTCTCGCTGTGCGGATGATGGGGTGATGGGCTAGTCAAGAGTAAAGAGGTAACTGTTTGAACAACTCGGTATTTTAGACTACTGCAACTGAGGGAAAGAAGATATAGCAGTTTTAAAATGAAGTGGACAGATTCTGGTCGACAAACTAAACAGTCAGAGATACCATAGAAATATCACGGTAGTTGTTCAGTATGAATTGAATCGTCTGCTTTACCTTCAGTTTACATTCCCCTTTAAGAACCAGCTGTGGACCGTGATTATGCAAAACAGATTTATACATTAATTTCGTCTACTTCACATTTAGGATTACTTGAATATTCTTTACGACCAAGACAAACACGACACCGTGACTAAAGCACCACTGCTTGCTAATATTTTCTGTCCTTTCTTGTTGTAGCTTCGTCGCCATGGCTATGGACATCTCCGTCCGCAGTGGGTAAGAAATAGTACATTTTCACCGAAATAGAGATCGAGTTGCAATAGAACGTCTAAAGAATGATGCAGTGGCTCTGGGTTTTAAATTCTCCGACTGGTAAATAAACCTAGGCCTCATGCAAGGAGCGAAAATCAATCCGAGGAGACATGTTGCTCGTTTCAACATTTCAGCAGGAACGAGAGAACCAAATGTGACTTTGAATACACGTATTTCTCTACCCTTGCAGCTTTGTTTCTGTTACGCATCGGTTATTAAATTATTCGCATACTGATTGGTAGATTACAGTATCAGGGATAGGCTCGATCTCCGGCCGCTGTTCGGGAAACGAGCCCGAACGCAGAGAGCGGCGGTAAACGAGCCTATATTAGGGGTAGATTATTAGATTATTCGGGGTGCGTAGGCGCTTCAGATTACAGAAAAATCATATAGCACAGACTTCATAAAGAAACCTCGACTCCTGCATTGTTGGAAGTAGAATAAAGAATATCGAACAGCTAAAACTCATGCACCCCTTCCCCACTCATGAATAATCTAATTGTCGGCCCTGCCATTGAGTTTGCTATGATTAGCTTAAATAAAAATTTGTCGCACTCGACATTTTTAGTTCTCAGCTAGAATTTTGTCTTTCGTACATTGACAATTCTTCACCTTCAACTGTCTTTCATCGCTAGGGAAAGAGGAGTGTGGCACGAAAAAGGCCGGTTCAAGAATTGTAGGGGGCACAGACGCGCAACCAGGGTCTTGGCCGTGGCAAGTGTTATTGGCCAATAAGGCGTTTGAGGGCAGTGTTTTGTGTGGAGGATCCATTCTTACCTCGCACTGGGTCGTTACCGCAGCTCACTGTTTTAATAACGGAAAAGATCCCGCGTCTTTTACCCTGACCGTAGGTAAGGACACAGTTCTCCATCGCACTGTAATGTCATGATATAACATCATAATATTTTTCAAGCGTTTTTAAAGAGCCGTTTCACTTGAAAGGTTTAGATATATATGTATATATTCTGCAAGTACTTTCTACAGCTTCTTTGAACGTAGACCATGAAAAGTAGCAGAATATCTTTTTAATCTATCCTTGACAGCATTTAATATCCCTTTTGTGGACTGAAAGACTTTTCCACGTTTCAGAGTTATTAACAGACAAAAAATCGAAGGCTTAAAGCTTAAACGCGAGTCTTGAAATATCCCCATTTATGGCTCTATTCTATGGATTAAATTTGTTTTCTAACAACACGTTCATCTGTGTAACAGGTGAATATGATCGTAGTAAAGCGGACGGAACCGAGCAAGTTATCCCAATTGACCAAATCTTCACACATCCTGATTATAAACCGCAAGAGACTGGCTACGACTATGACGTGGCATTGATCAAACTGAAGGAACCGATCACGTTTAACGATGACGTAAGACCTGTATGTCTGCCCACCATGGATTTCCCTCCTGGCACTAATTGCTATGTCACTGGATGGGGCGCTACACGAGAGGGGGGAAATGTTGCACAGGTAAATATGACTTGTATTCACCATATTCATGATAAGGGTGAGTAAAATCCACAAATGAGTTGAGCTGGAAGAGACATTCATTCACTGCGCAAGGTATGAACACGGAATAAGACTATAAAAGCTATGACATTTGTTTTAGATTTTGCAGCAAGCCCAAGTTCCTCTTGTACCACGTGACACTTGTCAGCTAGCATACAGCGACCTCCAATCGTCCATTACGGAACGCATGCGCTGTGCAGGTTTCTCTCAGGGAGGAGTTGATGCATGTACAGGAGACAGTGGAGGACCACTGGTCTGTCCAAGCAATAACAAGTGGTATCTTGTGGGTATCGTCAGCTGGGGCTTTGGTTGTGCGCGTCCGAATAGATTCGGAGTGTATTCTGACGTGTTGGTTCTTAAGTCCTGGGTGCAGGAAACAATGAATCCAAACCCAAGTCCACAACTGTAGAGGGCAGTAAAGAGATTGAAATTGTCGGTTGAAGAATAGCTCTTGTTTCACGGAAAATAAAAGAGTCACGGCAAACTAATAAAAATAACCTCCTGTAAAGGTAAATTGTTCGTGTAAATCACGGTTTGGGTCACATTTCCCGAGAAAATGTTATATTTGACGATAAAATAACTCCTAAATAACGTAATCCTGTAAGACTGATGCATTATATATAAGCAATAAAAGACGGAATGTAAAGTATATTCATTTGTAATCATTTTTATACTTGTAGTCGACTCGTTCGTCTAAATTTCAGGCTTCTTCAAGTTTTCTCAGTCTTCTATTTCCAGTTTTCTTTTTCCTTAAAATCTGCTCCCGAATGTCGTCATCAGATATCCTCGATGCAGGCCTAGACAGATTCCGCTCAAAAAAATGTTAATAAGTTGCTGAAAAATATCCCCAAAAGTTGCTCAAAAGTTGCTTATAATGGCAAAAGTTGCTTAAAAATTTTTTATAGTTGCTTGCGTTTTGGTGATTTTTGGACTGCACATGTTTCTGAACAGTGCTTCTCTTGACTGCAAGCGTTTCGTGACACGCTTTGCACCGCAATTGGCCAGTGACACACATGAGATGCTGACCAGGATATTTCTTGATTCGGTCATAAACAGAGGTTTTGCTCATCTACTTTTGCATCTGACTTGACTTGTATTTGCCTTTGTTCTCGACTAATTAACGCTTTCGGGAGATGGAAACCCTATCAGGCTTAGAAAGCTCTGCACCATTTTCAATTGCAGCCTCAGTGGATTGGATCTCTTTAATGTTGTCAGAAGAAAGCGCCTTGCCGTCCGCCCTTTTTGAGCTAGTTTTATCATATTTGGAAAATTATCACAGGATACCCATTCTGGAAATGGAGTTACATCCGGCATATTCATTCTTGTGAATTCTTGTGAATTTCCAAAGAAAACGTGTTAAAATATCAATTACTTATATATGAATGTGATTTCGAAATAGCGGAAAATATGCCAAAAATATGCTAGCTTTTAGAAAAGTGCTGTAAAGTTGCTCACTCTCCGAAAAGTTGCTCAAAATCGTGAAAGTGTCTCAAAAGTTGCCGAGCAGAATCTGTCTAGGCCTACCTCGGTGAGCATGCAGGACTTGATCTGGAAACTGTACTTGTTCACTCCATTGAATCAATGTCAGTCTGCTATCGTCCAAACCAAGGTCGAAATGTTTCATATATATATATGAGTATATTGGCGAATTGGGGCAAAATTTCCCATTTCATTTAAATTTCTATTCGCAGAAGCATGCCCCTTTTCAATACTGTATGAGCAACTTTTCTAGTCGTTAGGTTTATTGTTTTTTTAGATGTCCTACAGTACCGTAGCTAGTAAAAGACAAACCGAGGCACCTCCCAAACTCGTTTTTTTTTCCGTTTTTGTTAATAAATCATCATAAACACCCACAATGGCTTGCGTCCAGCTCACCCAAGTGGACCCAGCGCTTAGAGATTGGTGTCTAGTGACGGGAGCGAAGAGGAGACTCTTTTGTTTCTAGTCTCTTTGTCGGAACATCCTCTTTTCATTTTCAGCTGACCAAAGGGGCACGTTTTTGGCTCTATGTGGTTATTTCGTAACTTTTTTTGGTACGATCGTTATGGAACGAAATGTTTGTTCGCTTTTGCCAAACTTATCCTTTTGTGCCTCATTTATGTGTTAAGCTAATACCGCTCCGTTGTCAAACAAAACAAAGTAACGATGGCATTATATTAGGAGAACGCTATCGACATTGGTTAGAATCCTCGCTAGCCAATACAATCTCTTCAGTCAATGATTTTATCCAAGGAAAAATGGTCTCTTATTTTATCTCGTTAAGCACACCGCTCATCATTTCCATATCGGTAGTGGCATACCAACTGAAGAAGGTGCAGATATGCACAAAGAGTTTGAGACCTTGTTTTGTTTTTTTTGTTTCAAAAATCTAAGAAAGAACGTTGTTCGTCAAAACGTTTAGATGCACAAGAATTCCTTATAATAGTAGAATGCAGCAAACGAAATAAAGCACAAAAAACAGACTTTGGAGCAACTGCTGAATATCCTGCCACTATTGTTCTCGATTCTACTTGTGCACATATTTTTAAAGAACAAGAAATGCGCATGAATGAATTAGGTCATGTAGCAGGGTATTCTACAGTTAAACACAGACTTTCTACAGTCGTTAAATGAACTTGACAGTCTCTAAATGTGCTCTATGACGAATTAAAGCTCCGGCTTAATTCGTATTACACTTTGTGGTGTTACACTTTTGCACTGGTGTTACACTTGAACTGCACTGCTCTTAGCCAATCAGAATCGAGCGATTTTTTCATGTATGTTATTAGTATAAGTAATCGTATGAATGCGAGTGTGATTAAGGATTTAAACCACGAGTGATATTTAAATATTCTCTCAAAGTTACACTCGCCTTTAGGTAAAAGAATTTTCAAATATCACGGGCAGTGTAAATCCTTAATTTCTAGCGCTCGAGCTTTCATACGATTACTCATTTATTATATGAGTGAGAAAATTGCGAACGCGCGCGCGTTAATTTGCACGCAGCGCAAATTAAGAATTAACGATAAATTGGCCTTCTCTCAGCCAATAACAAAGAAGTAATTTTGTTATTAAGTAATGATATAATAAACTCTGTAACGTTGGGCTCTTTCTAATCGGCCTGGAAGAGTTAAAGTTTTTCTTTCTCTTCCTTTTTAGCTCGTAGACGAACTAAATCTAAATATATTCTCACTGGCCTATATTTTGGAGGGGACAGCTTATTGTCAGAAGGGTTTTGGCGTCTGGAGGTTGAAGTGGTTATTTTCGCGAAGGGATATTGTCTGAATTTCACAGACGAGTATGCTGAAGCAACTACAAATATGATACCTGCGGCTTTCTAGTAGAAAGTGACCTCTTGTATCCCGTATCATAATGTCACTGAAGTTGATTCATTTAGCAACCTTTGCTAACCTTTATTCATTGTAGCAATATCTTGAAGTACTTTTGTATGAATTATCATCAAACTTGATGTTTACTGTACCTGGATTTCGACCGAGCTCTGTCACTCTTTGTTGTGTTTATGATGATAATGTAATAAGGGGTACTAATAAGAACGTCTAAATTTTACAATTTGCCTTGTTTTGCCGAGTGATCTCAGTTACGTACTTAACTAACACTAATATCAAACAGTTTGTTTGCCTAATGCAACAAAAGTATATTTTATACTGGCAACATACCATGCAAAACTCAAATAAACTAGAATTTTTCAACACTTTTAAAAATTATACACCCTCCTCTTACTAACAAGGAAGCTAAGCGAAAGAAAAAACTAGTGAAATTTGGAATAGGCAATTACAAACTACGGAAGCACTGGTAGAGCACTACACCGGTATCGCAAATATCTGATCTTTCACATATTCAATTGTATTCTTCACGATCTTCTGGTATATTACGAACTCACAAAGTAACCAGTTCCCAGTTGGCTTGATAGCTCAGTTTGTAGAGCACTGCACCGGTATCGCAAAGGTCATGGTTTCGAGTCCCCTTCAGGCCTGAATTTTTTTTAGGCTTTAATTTCACAACTGTTTAAGTTGTGTGTAGAGCTGCGCTGATCAATCATGTCTTTACATCTTTCCCGCAGTTCAAATATCTGATCTTTCATAAGTTCACTTGTATTCTTCACTATATACTGGTATATTACGAGCTCACAACGTGACCAGCTCCCAGTTGGCTTGATAGCTCAGTTGGTAGAACACTGCAGCGGTAGCGCAAAGGTCATGGGTGGAATCCCGTTCAAGACTGAGTTTTTTTCCACAACTGCTAAGTTGTGTGTAACTGCGATGGTCAATCATGTCTTCACATCTTTCCCGCAGTTCAAATATCTAATCTTTCATATATTCACGTACATACATAGTTTATTGAACCTCCCCATTGGGGATTTCCAGGAACAATAATTCTAAGTGAAATGTACTAATTATAACAATAAAAACTATCAATCTACATTAAAATGGTAAAAATATGCACAATAAAATCTGATAAAAACTAAGACTAAGCTGTTCACGATAATCATTTCTTTTGCAGCACTGTATGTAGTGGTCATTCAAAAAAGGCTGGTTGTTGTTGTTGTTGTTGTTGTTCATGATGAACAATTTATATCGCAAATATTGACTACATGTAATATATATCTCAATCACAAACTAACTAACTTCAGAAAACATTTTCTCGAGTTTCTCTTTGCTGCTATTGAGTTTTTTCGGAATTGGCGGGAAGGAAAGCCATTTAGTTCAGATATATACTAGCCTAGGAGTGAAGGAGTCAAGAAAAATGTCAAGAACAATGTCAGCTAAATTAGCTGACATTGTCAGTTGACATTTTCTTGACATTTTTCTGACTCCTTGTACACACCTAAGCTAGTATAGATCTGAACTTAACGACTTAAATCTGCATTTGATAATGGCGACAAGATGACGCTAAAACGTAAGTGTTCTCAAAAGGAAATTAACTTTCACGCTCGTTTCTAAACTCTACAAGAACCGACTGAAATATTTTTCTGTTTCTTAACCGTATATTTAATCATAATATCCTTAATTTTGAATTTAAGAATCTTGCAATATATGCGAACTTGATTCGTTTTTAGTAAATTTGGTGTACTTATAGCTATCTAAATACAATTTTGCAAATAATCTCAGTTCTAAAGTAGTGCTAATGAATCTGCATTCTGATATCTCTATTTCAGTCTTTGTCTCTAAATGAAACAAAATCTTGTTATGGTCAGTTTTGACTAGCATATTTGCAGGCCTATATCAGAAAGGTGTTTATATAGCGCTGTTTTTCTTCAGGTTTATTTCAGGCAAAATGTTGGTGGCATCTAACGGGCGTGTTGCAACTTTTGCCCTGTTTTTGTTCTTTTCCTTTGCTGAGATCAGCCAAACAAGTGGAAATGGAGAGGGCGGTATGTTAGGCTTGAATTTATTATGCTAAGGCATTAATTGAATAGTATAGAATAGTTAAAATTTATTTATACCCGGTAAAAACACCAGGCCTTAATTTCAAAAAAATTCTTATTAAATCCTAAAACCGTTAAAAATACAATGTATTAAAAGTGAAACTAATAATTCGAACATAATAATATCAATTAAAGCGAATAAAGTAAAACAGAAATGCCTGCTTTCCATGATGCCGTGTATTTATATTACTCACATGTGTTAGAAGAGACCGCTGCAGCCGGATTTAAAACTCGTGAGAATTTGTGCTTGACGCAGTTTGACGGATGGACTGTTTCACCGCACCGCACCATTATAGCTAAAAATGTTCCTTAGAAAGTTGGTACAGGGCAGTGGAACTGCCAGTTCGCCCTCTCAGTCCCTTAGTGAATAAGAAGAAATTTCACTACGGTCAGTGACCTTCGATTGGAGATAATCAGGGGCAAGACCATTTAGTAATTTATAGATCATCGTAGCTGTTTTCAATTTTCGTTGAACATCTAGTTTTTTTTTCCCCAGCAAAGTCTTAGCATGAGATCATCAGCCGGCTAGCGTCATAAGAAGAAGAAGAAGGAAGAAGTGAAGATTCGCGCAGCGCGATATTGTAAATTTTCAAGCTTTGCGCTAAGTGTTTTGTTGCAGTTCCCCCATACGTGTTTTAGATACCTTGAGGCTTTCTAGCGAACACAAATCCAGAAACAAGCGTGTAGCCATAGGTTTTTTATGAGAGCCCTAGTCTGATATATGTATAAAGTACAACCACGCTAACAGAATAGGTCTTATCATTATCGGTACAGGCGAACCTTCGTTAAGCGGCCACCCCCTAATACTAAATTATTTTCACTAAGCAATCAAGCCAATCTAAAAAATATTCAAAGTATTCCTAGCCCCTGTTCAGCGGCCACCTTCCATTTCCCCTTACTGCGCACGCAAATTCACACGCCACGTCTGCATCGAGCGCGCGCGCTAAGTACTAAAATAGACGATGATAGGGCAGATGACCATTGCTATAGCTTTGCTTGGATTTAACGATCTTGGACGTCCGGTGACCCCTACTTTCTTTGCAGAAACAGATTTTATTTACAATTATCTCCACATTGTCCAAAAATGACCAAAAAAGTCAATGTAGGAAGTTAAAAAAATTTCAAGATTTCTGTCCACGGGACATCGAATCCTGCCATGTTACAGCTGCAAGGCGCGTGAAACTATGGTCGCTAAATGCGCACTTGATCTTTAAAGAACCTCACCAGTTGAATAAATTCACTTAATAGGTCCACTTAAACAATCTTTGGCAGAGAACATTTCACATCAAAGTACTGATTACAATATATTTGGGCTTACAGACACTGTCCATATTCGGTAACAAAGCCCGTTTTTTTCAGAATTACGGTGTTCTTCCGGGCATGTTCTCTCCAAAACGAAGTCGGTGACTCCCCGTTTTTTTACGTTTCTGACATAAATAACTCATCATCTTACAGTGGTAAAAGTCTGAGAAAAAAAATCAATGTTGCAAAATTTTCGCGCGAACGTCCTTAATAGGGGATCGACTGTATTACGAACGCTTATTTCCTTATTGCTGTGTTATATATAGTCTGCAAGGTAGGCGTTAAAATGGGAAGGAGAAGGGAAAACTAGAGGCGCGAAGCGCGATCGGAGGTGGGGGGACGGGAACACCTGCAAGTGTGCCATTATTTTTGTTTTTTGTGTCCACCAAATCACAGACTTGATTAAGTACTTAAGGCTGCCGCACACTCGCCAATTTTCTGTCGTAGAACTGCAGATTTTTTGTCGAGGTCAAATCGGGTTAAAATTTGTCGGGCCATCTACTTGCCGTACACTAGCCGATTTTTTGTTGCGACTAACCGCGTTTAGGCTTGGGGCCGAGTCATCCAAAATCAAGATGGCGCCTATTCCACTGACGTGACTCTCATGACATTTACTAATTGGTTGAGGCGCGCGCGAGCTCCGACAAATTTTCTTGCTCCACCGCACACTAGCCGACAAGGCCCGACAAGACGTTTTCAGATCTAGTACTGTCAGATATCGCCTGACAAGCCGCGATCTTGTCGCAGACTTTTCTGAATTCACCGCACACTAGCCGACAAGTGAAGATTTTTTGTCGGCCGACAAAAAATGGGCTAGTATGCGGCAGCCTTTAATCGATTGCCCTGATTGGTCAGTGATCTGCCATTCAAGTACTTTAGCGTCTTCATTCAAGGCAAATAAATCGGGTAGGTTGGAAAATAAGGAATGCTGGAATCTGGAACCGGAATACTCGGGATAACCGGAATCCTCGAAAATTTGAAAAAATGAACAATAAAATAAAACTAAAAACCAAAAATAAATTAATAATTATTTACTAACTTAATAAAATAATTAAATACAAGTATTTCCCTTGGTGGAAACACTCGCCTGTCGGCTTGTGTTCCCAAAGCATTTTTCGTTCTCCCAAACCTCCACTCGTGTTTCTATTTAGCAATTAGATTATGAGCTCGAGATTTCTATCACGCATAGAAATCGAGAGGGAATAATATAATTTTTTTAGTATAAATCTATTAGTCGTTCAAACGTTTATCTAAACCCTCTTCACAGACACTTCGAAAACGCTAAGAGGCGGCCGCCATTTGTTAACAAGGGCACACTGCTACGCTACTCCTTACCTATCACAGAATAGATAACGAGTAGCGTAGCCAATAAGAGAACGGCATTCGTGATAGAACGCTAGTAGGTTTATACTAAAACTCGATAGAAACACGGTACAGAACACCAGAAAAAACACCAGATCTTTGTGCTTGTTTATTTCCGAGCGGCTGAAAGGGAAGCCAGTCAACTGTTTTGTTTTAATTTCATTGTTTTCATTTTCGATGACGCTTACAGTTTTCTGGTTTTCAACGATACAAAACCGTAGAAAATCTTTAAGCTGTCACGGAAAATCATTTTTCAAGGCGCAAATTACGAAAGAAAGCTTTGGCGAACCTATTTCGGAGTGGTTTTTATTGGGAGACACAGTGCGTAATGCTAAGAGAGCAGGATACCGCCATCTTGCCCATTTGGGTAGCCAATCACAGCGCCGAATTTGGTTCATGTTACCGGTCACGGGGCTAGCCATATAACAAGGGAAATTACTGAACTCGCTTACCCTTTATCCTGTCTTGGTTTCAACTTTAAAGTTAATCTGGCCCTTTTCTCTTCCAATATAACTACACAAGACAACCTCAGTACGTACCACGTGCTGATACTTTATGTCTCATATATTCTTAAAGGTCGGCCGACAAGTTGTTCACCAACAAGTGATGATGATCTACCTCCATGTGTTCACGGTAAGAAAACCAAGCCTTGTAGTTTAAACACTTATATTGTACGTATAATCTACGTCAGCAAAACCCCGATAAGCTGTCATGGCTTATAGTTGTTCAAAAGTTTTTTGGGGTGGGCATGTTATGGGAAAGAGTCCTTGTGTTCAAAATTGTTTGGGGCCATGTTGGAAAGAGATGTTGTGAAACGAATCCTCTAATCAGTAAAATACATTCAAAGTTGTGTTTGACACTGACCCTATTGAAACGATAAAAACGTTTCTAACAACTTATAGATAGACCAGTCGATCAAACTGCTTCGGCCTTCGTGGGTATAAAAAGCCAACTGAAATTACTAGCTATCTCACAGGGGAGTTCTTATTTCAGATTCGTCCACTTGCGCGAAATCAATCCGGTTCTAAAACTTTCCGAATTCGTCACGAATCTAGAACATTTTCCTCCTGGGAAACCTAGTCTAAAGCACCACTACCTAATATTCTCTGTCATGTCCGTTTAGGTGTGTCGACAACTTTGTCACCAACTACTGCTGGCGGACCGGCAGCCATTGATCAGGGTAAGAAATAGCGAATTTTCACTGAAATATAGATGTACAATATGGAACGTTTGCTACGATCTCTTATTGGTTAAAAAAAAACCCTTATGCTAGGAGCTAAAATAAATCAAAGGAGACATGTTGTTTGTTTCAACCAATCAGCAACGATGGCAAAACCAAAATAATGTAATTTTGAATGCGCGTATTTTTCGCGTTTTCTGTCTTTTTCCGCGCGTATGGGATCAATTACATGCTGTGTATCAGTAACATGTCTAGTTTCGCATACTGATTGGCCGATTGCGGCGTCATTAGGACTAGGTAGGTAGCTAAGATGAAGTCGTCGGGCCATTGGTCCATGCAGCCATTTCTTATCCTTGTTTCGTACCATTTCGCGACTAGGAGTTTTTCAAATCCCCACCCCCACCCTCTGAATGAGATGCAAAGTCTAGGGGTGGACCATTGGATTAGTGATGGGGGAAGGCATAGATTATAGCTGTTCGGCATTCTTTATCCTCCATCCAATCACTCCGAAAGGCTTTATCCAATATTTTTGCAGTCGACGCCTTCAGTTCTCAGTTACAATTTTGTTTTTCCAACATTTGGCTGCTCTACACCTTCTTATACTCTTGTGATTTTTTGATTAAATAATCATAATAACATTAAGAAAAAAATGTTTATGTACCAAAGCCCTAAATTGTCTTTCATCACTAGGGAACGTGGAGTGTGGCAGGAAAAAGCCCGATTCCAGAATTGTAGGGGGCACAAACGCGCAACCAGGGTCTTGGCCGTGGCAAGTGTTAGTGGGCTTTAAGCCGTTTCAGGGTCCTGTTTGGTGTGGAGGCTCCATTCTTACCCCGTACTGGATCGTTACTGCAGCTCACTGTTTTAATTTTGGAAAAAATGCCACGTCTTATACAGTAACTGTAGGTAAAGACACACTAGTACTCACTTCTTTATCACATTGTAACGTCATAATAACATCATAATATTGTTCAAATGGCTCAGTCAGAGTCGTTTCATTGCAAAGGTTTAGATATTCTGCAGCGTAGTGTCTACATGTTCTTTCTTTAGGCGTAGCCCATGCAAAATGAGGGAAATGAAATCTCTTTCATTACATCCTTCACAGCGTTTAATGTTCCTTTTGTACACTGAAAAACGTTTCTATTTTCCTGAGGTATCAACGCGCGCAAAGCCAGATTAAAAAAAGCTTAAAGCTCGATCGTAGGCCAGTCTCGTGAGCACAGCAACCTAATTTTCCCATTCATAATCCATCTGGCGTGAAAATATTTTCTTACTTGACTTGTTCTCTTGCTTAAGAGTGTCAAAACATTTTATCTAACTGTAAACAGGTGAACACAATCCTCTTACAGTGGAAGGAACCGAGCAAATAATCCCAATCGACAAAATCATCTTACATCCTAATTATAACCCGCCAGCGACTAGCTTCGACTATGACGTGGCATTGATCAAACTGAAGGAGCCGATCAATTTCAACATTAACGTAAGACCTGTATGTCTGCCCACCGTGGATTTTCCTCCTGGAACTAATTGTTATGTCACAGGATGGGGATATACAACAGAGGGAGGAAATTTTGCACAGGTAAATATACTAATGTTTTGTAATCTTTTGCGGACAATAATTTCTCTTGCATTCACGAGTCACTTCATAAGCATATCGGTAAGAGGTTGTAACATTAACATACTGTGCAAAATATGGAGATTCCAAAACGCCGAAAAGTAACTGGTTTTGCATTTCTACGCTACACGATTGACTTGAAAAACTCACGCCGCTTTTCATCCAATCAGAAGTAAAACCAGAATTAAATCAATCGTGACTCACACACTGACACACTTTGCATCATACAGTTACATGTAATTACTTCGAGTTTCTGTTGCCATTGGTTCACTGAAATGTCTTCGTTTTTTTTTTTAGTTAGCTTTAGTTGCCTAGAGTGATTACATTTGGTTTTGCTTTTATGACACTCAGTTGAAAAGTGCTCTGTATATTACAGTTACCTGTGTTTCATATGGGACTATAGATTCCTTTACGGATTATCCGTATGGTTTATAATTTTATTTCATGCTTGCCATTAAATTGTAATAAATCAATATAAGGTAAAAGCATTCTTGCATGCCTCGGGGAACTTTCTTGACTCTCGTCAGCTAGCCATAAAAGCGTTTATAATAAATTGCTGGGGTTTTTCTATCGTATTTTCTTTTGAACGAGTGACCCATGGCCAGTACTTAAGTCTTTAGTTTGTTTGCTGCTTTGACAGAAGATAGTTTTTGTGCCAATTGTCATGGGAAATATCCGCACTGGGCGTGATCATTTGCCTGAGATTAACTGTGATGATAAAAAAACAACAACAACAACAACAACAAACTATGACATATCTTTTAGATTTTGCAGCAAGCGCAAGTTCCTCTTGTACCACGTGACACTTGTCAGCGGGCATACAGCGACCTCGGATTTGAAATTACGGAACGCATGCGCTGTGCAGGTTTCTCTCAGGGAGGAGTTGATTCATGCCAAGGAGACAGTGGAGGACCACTGGTCTGTCCGAGCAATAACAAGTGGTATCTCATGGGTATCGTCAGCTGGGGAGTTGGTTGTGCGCGTCCAAATAGATTCGGAGTGTATTCTCACATGTTGGTTCTCAAGACCTGGGTACAAGATACAATTCACAACACCACAATTCTGTAATTGTCGAGGGTAGTAAAGAGAGTGAAATTGTCGGTTTAGGACTAGTTCATGTTTCACATAAAATAAAAGAATCACGGCAAACTAATAAAAGGAACCTCGCTTAATACTAATTATTCGGGTAAATCACAGTTTGTGTCTTAATAGAGGGCCACGTTTCACGAAAAACTTTTGCATTTGACGATAAACTAACTGCTCATTATCATCTTGTAAGAATGCAATAAAAGAGGGAATGTAAAGTATTGTCAATTGTAATCATTTTTATACTTATAGTCGACTTCTTCTACTTCCTTCGTTTTAATGTAAGGTTTCCGAAAGTTTTCTCAGTTTCTTTTCAAGTTTGTCCTTAGCGTTGTTGTCCTCGATACTTAAACTGCCTTTTGCTGTTTGGGCGGGGAGCGTCTGTCTGCACTTTAGACGGTCTGTTTGTTCGGATGCGTTGTGTCCGGGCGTTCGTTTGCCTCGGAGGGGTTTGCAACTGGATATATTTTTGGTTTACAGGTGGATGGGCCTATAACCGGAGGCCTTATAAGCAGGGGGAGGCGGGGGGAGAGGGTGCTTATAAGTGGCAGTCAAATTAAACCTCTTAATTAACTCTGTAACGTTGGGCTTTTCGTAAACGGCCTTGAGAAGTTAAAGTTTTTCTTTCTCTTTCTTTTTAGCTCTTAAACGAGCTAAATCAAAATATGCTCTCATAGGCCTATATTTTGGAGGGGACAGCGTATTGTCAGAAGGGTTTTGGCGTCTGAAGGTTGAAGTGGTATTATTGTCTGAATTTCACAGACGGGTATGTTGAAGCAACTACAACTATACTAGTAGTAATCAAATTCACGCGCGTACTTTGCATGTTCGGCCTACTGTATTTTGGTGGACTCGATAGCTTGATCGAGTGACAGATAACGATATGCACGTAAAGTTGAACCCCGCGGTGAAAGTGTTTTTAATTAATTAAATATTAACTTGTACTGACCAAAATATTTTCCACGAAAGGCATTTGAACTGTTGGCGACACTTAGAATTCAAAGAAAATAAAGAATTCGAGAAAATAAAGTTTTGACAAGCGCCGCTACAAGAGAGCACGTCGCCAAATGTTTTGTATTGTTTTTGTAAAAGAATCGATCGACGAACCGCTAAAAAACTGAAAGAACTTTTAATCACACGAACGAGCTTCGCACAACGGTGTTTCGACTACATACTTGGCTACCGCGCCTAGCTTAGTAACCTTTCCATAACTCCGTACCAGTCCTACATTTTCACAAATGAAAAAGGTGAATTAATCTGACCACAAAACACGGCCTTTTGGCGAGTTACACAACACGGAAAATTTGTTTTTTGACAACCAATTATGGCCAGAGCAAATTTACTGAGCCACAAACAAATCGGAAAATTTATTTCCTGACCACAGATCTGAGGGTCATCATGACCATTTGCCGAGCTACGCAGAAGATTTGTCTTCTTACCACAACTCATGGCCATTTGCCGTCGCCGAGCTACAAAACATTTTTTCCTGATGACACAGGCTTTAGCTACCTGTTGTTGAAGGCTGGCGGGTCAAAATACATGCAGCTTTGCAGACTTATACACATTTCAAATCCATACGGCAAATACGTGACTGCGTTCTTGCGGTCATGACGTAATTTGCCCCTGCTGTGTGTGTGTTTTGGGGGTGGGGAATCGGCGAACAAATCCGACCGAAAAATTCTCGATACAAACTGGATTAGGATTGCGTTACACTACGAGAAAGCAAATGTCTGCGCTTTTTAGTAGAAAGTGACCCCTTGTGATGCTGAGCTGTTCAAGGGAGACGCAGTGACCACCGCACGCATCTTGCAACCACTTTTCAACACCATATGGGACAGAAGATAAATCCCTGATGACTGGAATCAGGGTGTCATCATCAAGATACCAAAGAAAGGAGCTCTGTCTGAATGTAGCAACTGGCGTGGCATTACATTATTATCCACTCCTAGTAAGATCTTAGCGAAAGTCATCATGAAGCGTCTATCATTGGCTGTGGACCTTAAACTCCGCGAGGAACAGGCAGGTTTCAGGAGAGGAAGGGGTTGTATTGATCATATTTTCACGCTGAGAAATATCATTGAGCAGAGTACAGAATGGCAGCTAACTCTCTATGTGAACTTTGTAGATTTTGACAAGGCCTTCGACAGCGTACACAGGCACAGCCCCTGGAAGATATTACGAGCGTATGGAATCCCCTTCTACGTTCTTCTATCTTCTTCTATCTTCTATCCCTTTCAAGCTTCTATGACAACTTTACCTGCTGTGTTGGTGATGGTGACATCTTATTTGAAGTCCACACTGGTGTCAGACAGAGGTGTGTCATGTCCACATTGCTTCAACCTTGTTGTGGACTGGATCATGCGGCACACCACTGAGGATCAGATCAGGGGGATCAGATGGACACCCTTTTCTTACTTGGAAGACCTGGATTACGCTGATGATCTAGCCTTACTATCACACACCCACACGCACATTCAAGAGAAGACACAACGCCTTAACGCCTTTGCAATGCAAGTTGGCCTCAACATCAGCAGCAAGAAGACCGAAATTATAACACTAAATGCTACCAACACACGATCAGTCCAGATTGATAATGAAGAACTTCCCTACACAGAAATTTACCTATCTCGGCAGCATAATCAGTAGAGATGGAGGAACTGACCTGGACATCCAAAGCCTTCTTAACAAGGCCAGGAACTCGCTCAACATGATGAATAAGATATGGCGCTCCTCCACTTACAGTACTCGTACCAAGATGAAACTCTATCACAGCTGGGTCCTCACAACTCTCCTGTATGGTTCAGAATGTTGGCGCTTAACAGAGAAGGATTTATCAAAACTCTCCACATTTCACACCAAGAGTCTTCGGCGTATCCTACGCATCTTCTGGCCAAATGTCATCTCAAATAAAGATATCTTTGAAAGCTGTGAAACTGAACCAACGGCTACCATCCTGATGAGGAGACGCTGGAGGCGGATTGGCCATGTCACCGGTCAAGAAGCATCCATTGCGAAAACTGCTTTACATTGGAAGCCAGAAGGGAAACACAAGAGGGGCTGCCCCAAGATCACGTGGCGACGGACAGTGGAGAAAGAAATGAAGGAGACAGGGAAGACCTGGAGAGGCATCAAGCTTATGGCAAGGGACCGGCAGATGTGGAGGGAGCACGTCGCTGCCCTACATGCCAGCTAGGCGTAAGGGGCATGATTGATTGATTGACCCCTTGTATTTCGTATCATAATATCACAACCTCGTCCCCAGGGTCCTCTCTATTGCTTCCTCGAGAAAGTACCCTGGTTGCGGCTGGTCACGTGCCTACGTATGCTAACCAAAGCCGCACAGAGGGTGGGTCCTCAATTTAAATTTTTTCAACACTGTCTAGGGAGGTAAATGTTGCGCTGCCGTTATTTTGAAAGTGAAGCATGTTGTTTGTCAGAGATCCTGCCTGACCAATGCTTCGTCTCTATGATCTGAACTTCTCTGAGTATGAGATGTTAATTGAAAGGGAGCTTTGCTTATTTTTCACTGCTTTTTTAAAAACCGTCAACAACTTGCTTCGGATTAGTTTAATCAGTTTTTCACAGCAAAAGAATTAAATAGCCGTCAAATTATCCACGGGATGCATTCGGCTAAATGAGAAGCTAGATTCTTGACCGAAAATTGGGCTTAGCGCTGAAACAGTTTTAAACCGAAAGCCGTTGGATTTTGCAAACGCGCGACCGATGTCACTGTTGTCAAGTTCTTCATAAAATGTTTCACAACAAGAGAAACGAATGACCTTCAAACTGTCGATTGGATGAATTCAATCAAATTCAAAGCTAGTTTCTCGGCCAGAAGCTGGACGTATCAAACTCTACACGAAGGCATCAATGTCTCC